ACAGTACTATAAAAGAAAGGCACAGAGAAGAGAGAAAAAGACAAGGAATGCTGTAAATTATGCTGTACTATTGAGGGTATATAGACTCAAAAGATGGTTTATAATAACAAATGCAGAGTCTTCTATAATAGTTACAATAATGAATATATTGTTCATATCAGGCAACCAAATAGCAGAGTTTATGAAAATAAATCCAAAGTTCAGAAGACCCAGCTCAGTTGTATCAGCTAGTTAGATCCGATAGCTAGCTCAGCTGGCATATTTACATCCATCAAAACTCCTGGTGGGACTAAAATTATGCCTTGACAGTGCTCAATATATATTGAACTCAGATTGAACCATTGCATTTGACCTGGTGGGATTAACTAAAACCGTCACTCCCTGGCTCATAATTATAAATTCTGGCCAAGTTTCAATCCAATCCAACAATCAACATTGACTCATGGTCATGGGTTAAGTTCTTTGGAACTGAAAATACACTTCACAAATACCATATCGTTAAAAAACTCTTGGTAAAGATCCGAAATCAGATCAGAGCATGTCATTTGAACTACTGCTATTTTTTTTTTCGACTGACATTTGAACTATTGCTGTTGAGTGAAATGAACTTAGTCCCGACTTAACAGTTATAGCTCTTGAATTGAGGATCAGCAATGGATCAAGCAAAAACCAAATTGAAAGATATGAGGATACAAATATATGGAAAGTAAGATCAATAATACCTTCTCATCGATAAATCCTGCCCAGAAACGAGCATGGGCTCGATCGCAAGGGTCCTGTGGAAGCAGAGGGTTTTGCTTCCAAGTCTCGTCGATGTACTCGAGGATGACGAGGGATTCAGCAATAGGTAGGCCGTTATGGAGAAGAACAGGTACCTTCTTGTGTACAGGATTGGACTGAAGAAGTAGGTCGCTTTTATTGAGCAGATTTTCTTTGATGTATTCGTATTCCACGCCCTTCATCTTCAAGACCCATTCGATTCTGGCACAGGGAAAGCTCTGAGGAGTCGCAATCAGCCTCACTTCCCCCATTTTCGCGCATCTAAGCCTGCAGGAGGATCCTCGATTCTTTTGATTTGATCTCCTGATTTAACAGCTGCATTCTTCATTTGGCGCCTATATGCATGATTGTATGGCAAGGCCAGCGGAAGTCAACGTCCAAAATCAGTGTCCTAAAAACTAATTGAAAAAGCAAAAGGCCACAACGGTCGATGTAGGAAATACTGCTACTTTTTGCCACGTAAAATGTTGAGATAAATAATTTACTTATTATTAGATCACGATTTGATAGTTAATATTCATTAATTAATTAAGATTTAATTGGAAGATCCAAATTCAACCTGTAATCTGTTTCTTCTCCTTCTACCTAAAAAAGATTTACCACATGCAAGTGTGGATGCTCCTACAACCAATTGAAAAAAATATATTTTTATATAAATCGAGATAAAAAATTTTTTTTTTTTTTACCTTGTATATGGCAAAATCACTTCTAAAAAGCTAATATGAACACCCTCAACATCTAGTTCTTAATATAAAAGTTACTTTACTAAGTTAGATATATTAAGAAAATTAATAAACTTAGTTATTTATAATAAATATGAGTTAATTTTTTTTTCAAAATACTCTTTTTAATCATGACTATCATTTGATAAAAACTTCTTAGTATGTGTAAGTAATAGAGATACTTTAAAAAATAAATTATAAATTTGTGAAACAAAATATATTAAACTTTTATGTTTAAAATCAAGTCCAATCCTCAATTCCTTTTCATATTTAGGACAGGAGGAATATTTTTTTCATAGGCTTAGATTTTTTTTGCCAACTTTTTGACATAGGCCCAAAAACTACATGTTGCTTGTACAACCTCTGGTCCTTAATATAAGATCCTATTTGACTTTTTGTTTGGTCCTAATTATAAGACTCCAATCCATTTTGTCTCTCATATTTATGCATTCTTTTTCAAGATAGTCCTTCTAATAATCATAGTTGTAGCCAATACACTTAATTAGCAAGGATATTTTAGGAATGACAACACTTATTTATTACAAATAACTAACTTAACTTACTTCCTTAATCTCCTCAAATAAGTCAACTGGGTCTTATAATTAGGACCGGAGGTAGTATTTCTTTTTAAAAAAATCTACACCAACAATTAATGTCAACAAAAGGTAACCTGGTTACTAAGAATTTGACTCATAATATAAGATGGTGTATTTAAATTCCGTTGTGGATACGAGTATAAATTGTTCAGCAGTGATTGTATCAAATTTCATGAATAAGAGCTTCATTCAATTTGCTGTCGTTTCTGCGCCTCTAAAAACCAAACACTCCTGTTTAAACATTTGAAGTCAACAATCATCATATTTTTGACAAATATTATTTTCTGTTTATCATCCAATCTTCATTCCTAACATATCTTTTTTGGTATTTGACGTAGCTTCTTACCATCATACAAAGATCCGAAAGCTCAAAAGCATATATGTGTAAAGCCTAGCATAAACACACAATCACTACAGTATCATAAATTATCGTCAAAATATTCCATACACATCCAGCTCAAGCGACCAAAACTAATTGAAATGGAAACCATGCAAGTTCTTCATCATCAATATTATTCAGAATGTGAGGGTTTATATCTTCATCACGGTTTATTATTTATTGGCTGCCATGGAACGCACGTAGTTGAAGCCGAAACTGAAGTAGTCAACAACAGAATCTCTGGGAGGCAAGCAGTCTTTGACAGGTGAAGTTTGCAGCAAGTTAAGGCTCCATTGATGAAGATGAGGGAACCTCTCAGCAGTGAGCAACTCCATCTCTCCAAGTTCTTCCAGAACATTCAGCCAATGAGGTATCCAACCTGCTACTATGTCCAAATACCCAATCTCTTCACCACCAAAATATTTCTTCCCTTCGATCTGCTTATCCAGAAGAGCCAGTAACTCCAGAGCTGACTCTATGGCTTTCTCCTTTCCTTCTCCTTGTGCCACCCCAGCTCCCCACACACCAGCCACACACTGTCATTTCATGTTAATTTGTAAGAACTGAGCAAACTCGGGCCAAGGCCCCCAAAAAAAAAAGAAAAACAAGACAAGGAATGCTGTAAACCAAACTCTATTATATATACTCAACAGATGGCTTACCATAATACATAATATATTCTATGATGATTCCAATGAATATTATGTGCATATTTGCCAACCAAATATGATGAACACTTGGCTTAGTACAGGACTGAGCTCAGATTGAAACATTAAATTCAACCTGGTGGGGTTAACTATAAAAGGATCACTCCTTAGCCAACAATAGCTATAAATTTTAGCTCAGTTTTAATCCAATCCAAGAGGTAATATTGACTCATGAATCATGATAGTGGGTTCAGTTCTCTGAAACTGAACATACACTTCGCAAATCAAATCGTAAAAAAGACTTGGTAAAGATCCGAAATCAGATCAGAGCATATCATTCGAACTGATGCTGTTATAACTCTTGAATTAACGATCAACAATCAATCAAACAAAAACTTCTTTGAAAGATATAGGGATGCAAAATATGTAGAAAGTGAGATCAATAATACCTTCTCATCGATAAATCTTGCCCAGAAACGAGCATGGGCTCGATCGTGAGGGTCCTGTGGAAGCAGAGGGTTTTGCTTCCAAGTCTCGTCGATGTACTCGAGGATGACGAGGGATTCAGCAATAGGTAAGCCGTTATGGAGAAGAACAGGTACCTTCTTGTGTACAGGATTGGACTGAAGAAGCAGGTCGCTTTTATTGAGCAGATTTTCTTTGATGTATTCGTATTCCACACCCTTCATCTTCAAGGCCCATTCGATTCTGGCACAGGGAAAGCTCTGAGGAGTCGCAATCAGCTTCACTTCCCCCATTTTCGCGCTTCTATGCCTGCAAGAGGATTCTCGATTCTTTTGATTCAATTTCCCGATTAACACCTTCTTTCTTCATCAGTCATCAGTCTTATTTGGCGGTTGGCGCCTATAAACAAATGGTTGATCATATGGCGAGGCTATCGGAAGTCAACGTTCAAAATCTAATCGAAAATGCCAACAATCACAACGGCCCATGCAGGAAATACTTAAAAAAAAAAAAAAAAAGAACGTGTGGATCCTATATTGTAGTCGTATTTCCATAATTATTTGTTTTTATTTTAATAATGAATTTTATTACTATGAAAAATATGTTTAATAAAATCACTTTTTATTGTTAGTTTGTCTTTTTTGCCTACCTAAAGGAATTAGTAATATGACGAAAAGTTTATTTGCGCATAACCTAAATTTGGAAAGTTTATTTACATGTAAAACGAAGTTTGAGTTAGCTAGATTAAAAAAAATAGAAGGCATATGATGAGTAGCATGTTATGTTTTATTACTGAAATAACGAAATAATTGATAATAAGACGTTATTTACATAAACATGAAATTGTCGGAGATTTTTTTGTCTAATTCTAAATATTAATAAAATCATTTATACTTGGTTTACAATTTAGATAAAGCTTGTACAATTTATTCAGTTTATTTAAAAGTTACTTTGAAATGTTAATACTTAAATTTTGGTTAAAATTTTTGGAGGTAAGGTGCGCTTGTAGTAACCCGTTTTATCCCATGCGTGGCTAAATCACTGAGATGAGACAAAAAAAATGGGCTGCATTTTTTCCAAACGACACCGTTGAGGCAATACAGTTGAAAAATGAATGAAAGAGACGTTGTCATGGGGAAGAAATGGATGGCCACGATCTCATAAATCGAGGGCTGAGATGTGCCCTTCCGTTGTCGGTAAACGGCACGCCGTTCGGAAAATGCACAAACGAGCGAGTTGATGGCCTTCAAGCTTTCAGCTTCTACCGCTTTTAGCTAGCCTTGCTTTCAGTGTTTATTAGTAAAGCTTGATGGGGCTTTCAACGGCTTTCTTGCATCTTGATTCCTTCTCGCCAGAGCCCCAATTAGTTCGCAATGTTTTACTGGCAAATTCTTAATTTTTAATTTTTAAGCAGAATTAGCTCCGATAATAGCATCAGGACAAAAATTTGAGGGGGCGAAAATGTCAGACATCGATGCGTCTAAGAAAGTAGCCGATAGATATCTGAGGCGTGAAGTTCTCGGTGAAGGTACCTATGGAGTCGTATACAAAGCCATTGATACAAAGGTAACTCCAAATTAAACCATTTGCTTTTATGCTAATTTTTAATTTATTTTGGAACAAACTTATCTTGCAGTTCTTAGAAACATGATTTTAAAAACGAAAAATGGAGGAAATTGGGTTAATGAAGATGATTTGGAAAAGAGATTTCGATCTCTTAATGTGAATGACGAGCCTTCTTGGTTGAATAATGTTGATGACCCAGAAAATCATTGATCTTCAAATATGGCCTTACAATAATATAAATAAACAATCGAGTGTTTTCGATAGTTTGTTTTTCTAAAGTTCCAATGACTCGCAAAGGGTGTTTATTTTCTTGCCTCCTCTGGGCTTTAAATATGTGCCATAGGGTATAAACAAGAGTTTCTTACCATTTGCTGACGCAAAGGTGGCATCCTTTCATTAGTTGGCGCTCTTATGAAATTGAATTCTATGCTTGAACAGACTGGACAGACGGTTGCAATTAAAAAAATTCGACTTGGCAAGCAGAAGGAAGGGGTAAATTTTACTGCTCTTAGAGAGATTAAACTGCTCAAAGAGCTCAAAGATCCCAATATTATTGAGTTAATTGATGCATTCCCGCATAAAGGGAATTTGCATCTCGTGTTTGAATTCATGGAGACGGACCTTGAAGCTGTTATACGAGATCGAAATATTTTTCTTTCACCAGCGGATATAAAATCCTACCTTCAAATGACACTTAAAGGTCTTGCTTATTGCCACCAGAAATGGGTTTTGCATAGGTAAAGCATGCTACTTTTTGTTCACTAAATTTGTATTACATTCTTTTTGGTGATGAGTGAAAAGTTTGCTAATAAATCCTCAGGGACATGAAGCCAAATAATTTATTGATAGGACCAAATGGACAGCTGAAACTTGCAGATTTTGGTTTAGCAAGGATATTTGGGAGCCCGGATCGAAGGTTCACTCATCAGGTTCGCTTCTTTATTCAGAGTGCATTGATCCTTTTCAATATGTGGGCACCTATACGTTGACTTAGTGGCTCTGGAGACTAGTTCCTTTCTGTTAAATAAAACCCAACATTCTGCATAAAACTTTGAATTCATAATTCACAGAATTCTGTTTGTTATCCTACTTTCTGTGGATTCTCTTGCAACAATTTAGCAATGCTCCCTAATATTTGGATGTCACAGAATGTATAACTAGTAGGGACCTTATTAGTGGTTTGCCTAATATGATTAAATAGTTCTTTTTTAAGCAAATATAGGTTCAAACCTGTAGACTATGCCTTAAGATCTTCATAGTAACAGCTGGTCTGTGTTTGAAATGTTTTATTTTTTAATAAATTATTTTGTATTGTTTATTGCCTTTAAAGATGGGTATACAGGGTAAGAAAAGAACACTTTGCAGATTCAAAACTTGAAATTGGTGGAAGAAGTGCTTCTTCTGATTGCTTGTGTTCTAGGTCTTCCGTTCACTTGGATCATTATCTCATGGTGACTTACAGGAGTTGAGTAGAATATGCGACTAGTGAAATTTAGGAAGCTTGCTTGCAGCATAAATGGCTTGCCAAATGTTTCTTTACGTATTCCAATCAGTCTAGCCGTTTTCATTAGGAACTGCTGCATATTATTAAGCATGCCCTGTTTCATCTGAGGATTCATCTTTTATGCTTTCTTCAAGTGCATGGATCTCCATGCTTGACCCTTATGCTTCTTCTGTGAATAGGTGTTTGCTCGGTGGTATAGAGCACCTGAGCTGTTATTTGGAGCCAAACAGTATGGGTCAGGGGTTGATGTTTGGGCTGCAGCTTGTATATTTGCTGAACTTCTGCTTCGTCGGCCCTTTTTGCAGGTAAAGGAAGATTCTCAGTGACTAGGGACAATCAATTGATATATTTGAATGTTTGTCTTGAGATCATGGATTTTTTATCTGAGTATAATCATTTGGCCCTTTTATATAGAAAAATCTGCTTAGCTTTATCAAACTGTTCATATTGCAGTTTGAATAAGCTGCTGGTTATGTTGATTTTATTGACTATTGGTTTAACTCTCATGTAATCTGAGCTCTCATACTTCATCATATTGGCTATTGGTCTTAAACTTTGCTTTTTAAAAGAGAGAACTTGTTATTTTGTACTTTGATGATGTAATTTGTTGTGTCGGATGATTTTATTCTTGTGCTTCTGTATGCGGTAATAATTAATCATTCATCATTGAAGTTTTTAATCATTTTTCTCTTATTTTCTGAATCTTGATAGGGTTCAAGTGATATTGATCAATTAGGAAAGATTTTTGCTGCATTTGGGACTCCAACACCCTCTCAGTGGGCTGATATAGTATACCTTCCTGATTATGTCGAATACCAATATGTTCCAGCCCCTCCTTTGCGTTCTTTATTCCCAATGGCAAGTGATGATGCTTTAGATTTGTTGTCAAAGATGTTTACATATGATCCTAAAGTTAGAATTTCAGTGCAGCAGGCTTTAGAGCACAGGTATGTTATGTGCCTTGACGTCATAAAGATTTTGATAACTGTGTGTTCTATTGCATATTTAGTCTTCTTTTTTCCTTTAGGTATTTTTCCTCTGTGCCTCTGCCCACGGATCCTGATAAGCTTCCTAGACCTGCCCCAAAGAAGGATCTTAAGGCTTCTGATTTCAATCCACATGAGGGCCCGACTGTTTTATCACCTCCTAGAAAGTCTAGGAGAGTGATGCCAGGGCGTGATGGATTTGAAGGAAATGCATTACAAGGAGATAAAGCTGATGATAATGCTGGTGATTACATACAAAAGGCTGGTGATAATACTGGAAAGAATGATACAGCTGCAACGTCAGTAGACTTTTCTATATTTGGATTAAACCCTCCAAATAGGCCTACAATTAGCAGGTAAAACAATATTTGGATTAAGTCACACAAGCGGATCATAGTCACGGCTCTTCAGCTTGCGTACAGAGCTGTAATCCTTCTGCTAAAATTATTCAAGTTAAAAAGGTTATACGTAAAGCTGATGTAGTACATCAGACACGCTGTTTAGATTTTTGCCATATGCCCTGTAATTGGATTTACTTTAGATAATTTTCATATCGTCATCTGGATACATAAGCACTTTTTCTCTTCCTATTACTACTTTTAGTAACAGCACAAAGTAAAAGGTCTGGACTCGTACTATGCTTGTGTTTTGATACATGATTGCAAATAAAGTAGCAAGACAACCTCGTTATAGATTTATAATTATTGCTTAGGCATATTTCATTTCAATATACTTAATCTGTACACACTACACAGAACCTTTGATTTGTGAATAGCTGTGAATTATGCCATACCGGTTGTACCTGTGAGAAAATAGCGCTACATCAGGGTAATTGGATCTGTTTTATGTTACTTCTATAACGGTATATTTTCACAATGGGTGGCAGTGTGTCGGATCTTTTTTATTGTTTAATTCACGTAAATGATGCAAACTAATTTTTAATCCCTCTTTTGGTTTTGCAGCGCTGACAGATCACATCTGAAAAGAAAATTAGATCTAGAATTTCAACATCCAGAATGAATATTCTAGTACAGGAGCCATTAGAGCCGTCCTGATCTGTGCTTCTCCGTGTAAAGCTACTATGGATGTGTAGGTGTATAAAGGAGAAAGTAGCAGTCACGGAAACTTAACGTCGCACTTGAATTTTCGTTTGGGGACCCAAAATAACTGTTGCATAATTAAAATCTCCCCCACGGGGTTAATTGTGGCTGATGAACGGCACCCCGCTAGTGATTCGTGAGGGCATTTTCTTGAGCCCTCACTGTATCTGTTGCTTGCAGAAGTTATTGTGTAAGCAGTTGTCTACTATAGAACATAAAATGCATGCTATCGGGTGCTTCCAAACTGATTGTTATTCCATTTATCTCACTGAACACAAGTATTTATAGAAATGGTGCCTGATTTTCCTGGCTCTCTGCAATTTTTGTTATTCAAGGAACTCATATTGCGTCAGTTAAATGTTCTGAGCGTTCATGTAATAGTCGGTTTAAATGCACTTTGCTGAACTTTAGTCAATGGATAAGAGCAAAGTCCTCCATTACGTTACTGAATATTTTCTCTGTTTTTCATGCTTAGTTTTACATTTTACACTAAACAAGAACTAAGGTTCTGCTCCATGTACATTGTAGTTTTGTTGCATCTCTTAGTAATCCTCATTTCATACGGTAAAATCTTGACGTCCAGAATGACGACTCCATCAATTAATAACATTTTGGTTACTCTCTGGGACTCTGGGACCTTGCACCCTTATTGCAGCATTCGTAGCCTAGAAAATGAATGATTTTGTTAGGATCTCAGCTCACCACACAAAACAAAGTTGAAGATAAGAGGGTGCCTTACTTCTTTCTCCCAGTTGGTGCAAATGGTTATGAGAAGAAGACATGCTACTTGCACAATAAGTGCTAATGCGATACCTATTAAGAGGCCCTATTTGTGCAACAAACCAATATTATTCAAAACAAGTAGTTTCAATTGAATTGTTTTACTACAGGAAATCGATAGGACCTTACCTTTACTTTCATGTGGAGGGCTATGGAAAAGACTACAGCAAACGGAACACCCACAAGATAATATGTGCAAAGATTGACAAATGCACCAAGTTTCTGCCAACCACATCCTCTTGCAACACCTTTTTAACAAAATATTGCCAATTGCTTATCAATGGTGAATTTCACGCATAGAAACGTAGGCCGCACAGATATAACTAATGCAGATGTAGCATATATTCTTTGGCTTTTATTCCTTCTCCATTTGAGGATCAGGAATAAGTGATATGCACATTTTACACTTGGTTTAATGAGTAAAAGCAATGTGAGTACCTGAGAGTACAGTTTGAATTGAATCCATAAAGACGAAACTTGCCACAATTGGGAGCATGGATGCCACATATCTCACCACTTCAGGTACATTGGTAAATGCCCTACCCCAAATATTCTTTATTAGCATTAGCAGAGAAAATTCAAAAACTCCCATTGTGAGGGCCACAGATAAGGTGACTTTAAGTGCTAATTGTGCAGCTTTGGGAGAGCCAGCCCCTAGTTCGTTTGATATCCTTGTACTGTTGAGTTGAGATACATAATAAAAGTAGTCAAAGTCCACACTAGCATCAAATTAATCCTTGCTACACTAAAAGCCATTTAAATTGTTTAGGAAGAAATAACTGACCTTGCCGCAGCCCCAATTCCGGACGGCAACATCCAAAACATACCAGATGTATTAAGACTGCGGAAGGAGTTCAAAATCCATAAGAAGTGTGCCCGCGTGGGTGTGTGTTTTGTATGTATAGATGCCAACAAGAGTTTAGTACAAGCTAAAGCATCGCTCCTAATGGAAAAACTTACCATATAGAAGAAACAGAAGTTTGTAGTTTTGGATTAGGAAAAGTACCAGACAGGATCACCATTAATTCAAACGTCCATGACTCCAAGCTATTACACAAAGAAAAAAAAAATCTCAACAGTGATCATAACATTATTAGTCACCAAGAAAAGTAGATAGTAATTAAGTTCTTGCAGGACATTATATGCAGTAGTGAAGAAGATGATGATGAATCAATGTATTTGATCCTAGGATAATAAGCTATTATTTTGCTTTCCAAGTTATTTTTTCTTTGCGGCAGTGAATGATGCTTCAATAATAAGAATCATACCAGACCATGAGAGCTGAAGGAAGAGCAAGTTTGAAAAATTGGGGGATGTTATGTAACGATTGTCTTGAAAAGCCCGTCCAAGTCCTCTTGCATGAAGAAGAGTACTTGATATAAAGTGCTAGCATTAGCAAGCTAATCCAATTTGAAATGCAAAATGCGATGGCAGCTCCTTTGATGCCAAGGCTAGCTTTCAGAACCAAAACCCAACAGAAGAAGATGTGTATCAAGGTTGAGATCCCAGTAGTTAGAACCATAGGAAAGACTATGCTCTGGTTTTGTAGGAATTTGATGTTGCACTGAAGAAGACCATAAGCAAAAAGGCTTGGAATCATGTAACGAGCATATACTCCGGCTTCTTTTGCAATATTATGGTCTTGATGCAGTAAAACTAGAATAGGTCTCAAGTTAGCAAAAATAATGGACTGAACCACAGCAACAAGTGAGGTAACCAGCATGCCTCTCTGCATATGTATGCCAAGCATGTGATGCTGCTCTGCTCCATATGATTGACCACAAAATGTGTCCAAAGCACTCGCCATTCCCATCTAAAGCATTGAACAAATGAGTTTTTGAGTATGTGTAAAGGCTCTTAAGATTGATGAAAAACTGAAACGTTGAGGAAGCAAGAGATAATGAAATTCTATGGTCGGCATTCATGATGATCAGATCACTTCTAACTTAACAACTAACATAACTTGATCATTTAGAAAGGAGGCATTAAAGTGTAAGGCGGCCGACTGTGTCCATGGAATGTTAGATTTCTAGAAAATAAACATAAGGGTGTGTAATATCATGAAATATCAACTGAAACTTTCACGAAATCACTTCAACTTTTAAAAAGCATAATATCAAGCACTTGGTAATCAACTAAATCAATGAGATGTTAGACGCAGAGGGAAAGAACGCAAATCCCTAGTCTAAGACCTTGAGACATGAATTATTAAATGCTAAAAACTTTCAATAATTTGCTTGCGCATATCAATGATATTGAAACGCAGAGACAGAGAAGAAACTCTATGAACTCACCAACACCGTAAAACCAGTAGCATTAAGAAACGAAGTGGCCGTTGAAGCACTAGATAGAGACAACTCTCCGAGGTGACCAGCAAACATTATCGAAATCATCTGTAAACTGTACATAAACAAACCCACAGAAATCATAGGTCCGGCCAGCCACAGCTGCTTCTTTGCTTCGCTAGCAATTTCCTTCCTGCACAGCCCCATTTCTTGCTCTACGTACTCTCAATCGTACGTCTTCTTCCCTATATCATTGAACACTGAGAAATATTAAGCCGATACACTTCGAGGGACTTTGAATATATGGGACGATCAAACGTGAAACGTCAAACGCGAGAGTGAAACTACAAAGCCTGAGACTTGTGGTTTAGTTTGTAGAAAGATTACGCTCATGTAAATATACTGGTACAATTCCGGAGTCCACAATTATCCGGTTTATCTATTTCTTCAATGAATTCTCACAATAGAATAGAAAGATTAAAGCTTACAAATCTTTTGCTTTTTGTGTTTTTAAACCAAGAGATGCAGTTTATATTTAATGTTGCAAATCTATACTATAGGATATACAATTAATACTTGAGAGATGCAATGTTGACTTTGCAATGAAATCCGATTTTCTTTAAAATCTCACACGCACGTATGTAAAAGTAAAACCATCTTAAACAAATAATAACTATAATCACCATTGCACAAGTTATATATATATATATATATATATATATATATATATCTGTGTGTGTACGCACAAAATTTTTGGTTGCATTGAAGTTTCAAGATACGTTCTGGGGTTTTTTTTTTTTTTAAAAAAAAAAGGTTTCGAGATGCGTATGCATGCATGCAACGGGCAATAAAAACCAGTTATGGCATCAAAACCGGACCACACTATCAGCCAACTGGACCAGCAAAGCGGGTGGACCCGCTAGGCTAATGGATTGGACGGTCCAGCACCTTTTTTTATTTCCCCTGCAGGAGAAAGGGTACCTTTCCTCACAGCACTAAAGAGACAGAGACTAACAAGAGTTAGTCCAATTGATAAGAAGTTGACTCATAACTCATAAGATTATAAATTCGAATTCCACTACTGATGTGAGGATTTTATTGATAGACGATCTGTAAGTATCTTTGTAAGCACTCTCTGAATCTAGAGATACGTCTTGGCCCTTGTGGATCCTCGGGACCCAACTCACCTAAACTTTTTTCTTACCAAAAAAAATAAAGAGAGGAAGAATAGAGAGAGAGAGATGGCTGATGATGGTGACTTTTCACTTTTTATGTATTTATATTCCAAAACTAATTTTCAGATTTGAACGTGAAATCAACCTTCACACGTACAGTAATGCGCCTTTATATTTCTCCAGAACCCTGCTGCACTTATTTCAAACCCTATGGGAGACTCTGAGTGCATTTTTTTTTTTTTAAATATGGTTGTGTTATTGGATCAGTTTCACGCATTATCGAGTCGAATTGAGCATAGCTTTCCCAGGAGCATCTTTTTTGTTTTTTTTTTCAGGGCCAACGCCTGTTGATATTTGGTAGGCTCGGCTTCTTTTATTTTACTTCTTTTTCATTAATGGCCCAACTACAATTTGAATGTCTTCTCATTTGGGCTTTCTCATCTTCTCCATATGTTTCGTCCCTTTACTTTCTGGGCTTTATTACATCCACTCTAGCCCAAATTCATCACTTCAATTTTTGGCATTTTATGTATCTCATTTTATAATATATATTGAAAAGGGTGTGGCTCTCCTGCATGAGTTATTATGAAGGATAAGAGGGTGCTCATAGCATCATATTCATTAAGAAAAATCTTAAGCTTACGTGATGCTCATGTTGGCTACTCTCACATGGGGGTAAGAGAGTTGTGCATTTGATTTTTTTATCCGTGTGTTATTGTTGATTAGTTAATATAATTTTGTTTTAATTATACAAAATATACCATACAACTTGCCCCCGCAAATCAATGCAATATTATGGTGTATTTTAGGCGAATCTAAACTTATTCAAACTGTCACTAGTAAGTAAAAATGTTCATGGACGAGATGAGACTGGAACAATTTAGGGTATGTTTGGATTGGCGTTGGGCAAAACTGACTTCTAGCTCAACTGACTTTTGTAACTGAAGTTAAAGTAAAAGTCAGTTAGAGTATGTTTGGATAGGTTCTTTTGAAAAGTCAGTTAAAAAAGTTGAAAGTTGTTTGGATGATGAATAAAAAAGTTAGTTTAGTTGTGAAATGACTAAAAAGGACATGAACTTTATTAAATAATAGTTTTTGAAATTTTATGTTTTTAATTTGATAATAGGTTAAAAAAATATAAAATTATTATGATAAAATATAAATAGTTTAATTGTGAAATTATGAAATAAAAATATTTGTGCCTGAGAAAAATTAAAAAATACATTGCAAATAATTAATTAAATATACATAATGGACATAATAGATGTGTGTTACCTGTGAATAGATAAAAACTAAATGTAAGTAAAATTTTCACACAAAAAGAAAAGAAAAGAAAAGATAATACACAAATTGGGCAGGAGCTCTATGGAGGGAGTGACTGGAGCGAATGGATTTGGGGGTAGGGAAAATGTAGGAAGGGTTAAAACTGGTAGATGATATTTTTATGATCTAATAAATGCCCCAAAACAGTAGACTTCAGTTTCAGATGTGCCAAAAGTAACTCTCCTCAGTGTTGCCAACGTTCACCGTTTGCGTGAGAAGTCGGTTGGATAAGATATTCCAGCCAAACAACCATTTTTCTTCATTTCAGTTGCAAACGTTGGTTTCACAATTTTCTAAGCTCTTTCAGCGTTTGAAACGGCAATCCAAAGGTAGCCTTAATCTTGCTAAATGGCATAGGTTGCTTTTCCGTTTCATATTTCATCTCATGTCACAAGTGTCCTAATCCGAGATGAGACGGGTCTTGAACAGTCTGTTCAAATTCAATGTTTTTTACCTCACCAAAACCATCTGATTCCAACCACGTTGGAACTTGGAAGCAATGAGTCCAATGTGAGTATGATAATTAAGAGTATTGTATCCTACAGAATTTGCAAATTTTCCCATTTGAAGAGAGAAATTTATAAAATTGTAAAAATGTGTCTCCATAATTATGATAATTGAATCGATGGAGACAAAAACTAAAGCTCAGTTTCGATCACAAAGAGCTTCCATTGTAACATATTTGAACTCTAATGTACCAAGCACCAAAGATTCAACAATTAGCACAAATTTACACAAATAAGTGAAAGGCAAAGGGCAGATTGCACAGGAAGAGTGAAAGAGGTACGTAGCAGTGAGATTGAGGAGAGAAGGAGGGCCAACGACGAGAAGTACAACAACGCTGGAGAAAGGAGAAGGACAAGGAATAAGGGAAGCACATGAAGAAGGGAGGGGAGAGGAGAGGAGAAGTGAAAACAGCGGGGAACGCACCTGAGTGGGAAGACGACGTTGGGACTTGGGATAAAGAGTCTGAGAGAAAACGACAGGCAGCAAGAAAGAAGGTGAGAGACAAAGCACGTCCACGAGCAATGAGAGAGAGGTCTAAGGTCTAAAAGTACTGAGGTAGTAGAAAAGTATCAGGCTATATGCTGGTTAAAAAAAAACAAGAGAAGAGTATCAGGTTATAAAAAAAAAAGGATTTAAGTATTCCATAAAAAAACTTTTCAGCGAACAATACGGTACCTAAAATATTCCATCAACCCTCCTTTCTTCTGTTTTAACTGTTGTCTTGATCATAATTTGTCTGCTATAAATGCATACTGGCAGTAAATGTTAGTAACTTTAGTTAGCTAATACATATGATTAGCAATAATATTTTAAGAAAGATAATATCTATTTATTATAAATACTCCTTTGGTCCTTAATATAAGACTCTTTTAACTAATTTGATTAGATTAAAAAAGTTAGGTAAATTAGTTAATTATATATGACATATTTTTCCTAAAATATCATAATCATCTTTCTTAATATCCCATCTATCTCTTCTACTTGATTATGGTTGAAGGAGTATCCATGGAGTAATTTAGAGAAAATTGATAAATATGAGAAATAGGTCTTATATTTAACAAACTTTCTTAATCTACTCAAATTAATTAACTAATTTTTATATTAAGAACAGGAAGAGGTAGTATTTAATTTATGCTTTATTAATACACATGAACATGTTCAATTTTATAGTTTTCCACAATGAATCTGTTGACAGGTGAAGAGAGACATTGCTAAAGATACGATTTATTTTGAACGTAATTATTTATTTACATGTAGCAGCGATTGTGGCCTTGTCCATTCAAAAGTAGAACTAATAAATAAATTAAAAAGGCCACAAATTAAAATAGTCTGATGAAAACTCAACAAGGATAAATACAATAACAAATTTGAGCTGGCGCCACCCCTGCACATTCTCCATGGCCATCTTTGCTATATTCTGCCTGGCACTGTTGGGTGCAAGCAGAAGCATCGCACGGTCCAGAATGCATTCTTTTGCAGCCACTGGATTTAGCATGCTACCTTCTGGATAATTTAAAAAAAAATCAGATTAATTAAATCAAAAAGACAAGCAATAACCAAAATTATTACTGAAAATTAAAGCATTAAGCTTCATCTAGTACTCTAAATTATTTTTTAGATGCATCTGACACTTTAAAGTATTTTGTGGTTCATTGAGCACACCAAAATATTTTTTACAGGTACATCTAACATTTTAAAATATATTTTGTAGTTCATCCAACAATCTAATGTTTTAAGTGGGTGTCGAGCACTAAAGTAAATTAGGGTATTCGACACACCTAGAAAATATTTCAAAATATTAGATTAACTACAAAATATATTTTGAGGTGTTAGATACATATGAAAAAAAAAATTACTTCAGAATGCTCGATCAACTATAAAATATTTCAAAATGCTAGGTCCAGGTCAAAAAGTAGTTAAAGAGTGTTGGATCAACATTAACCCAAAATTAAATACACAACATTACTCCCTTACCCAATGTGAGAGTAGCCAACAGCATTAGCAACATCACAGCGTAAAATCTCTTCATTTATTTGACTAGAATGGATCTCAAGGGTAGATTTTGTATGTTACTAGTTCTCTCTGATCCTTGATTTATAATAGATGTTTCTTCATAGCTCACAGGTCAGCCACCCTTGAGGCATATCAACAATGCATGCATCTGTGTATTTACACCATGCACGTATCATTAATACTGGATTT